ACACACACACACACACACACACACACACACACACACACACACACACACACACACACACATTCCAGAGAGGATTTGAAAGCTTCCCAGGAGACTTCATGCTTCATTCAGACAAAAGAAGGATCCCTCCTTCCAGTTAGTCTCTCACACACATTTACATGTTTATGCAGCAGTTAAAACTTGCTGTTTCAGTGCTACTTCTGTCTCACACAGACTCAGACAGGCTGATATAAGTTAGTCAAGTATATGTGTAACTTGCAGCCCTTGTAAGACACTGCCGTCTTTACAAGTCTGTTAAAGTGACAACATTCTGTCATATAGTGTTTGAGTGATACCAAACATTTCAGCTTAATGAGGTCAGAGCTTTCACAAGTAATCCCCATGAGCCAAAAGCTGCTCTAAACCCTCCTTTTCTCTGCTCTTAGCTGTGTATGAGGTGAGTGAGAGGGCATAACCTTTAATAGGGTTATCTCAGATTCACAGAAACCACACTCACCTGCTGATCAAACCTTCTGTTTACAAGGTGCAACCAATCAGAAGGAAGTTTTCCAAAAGGGAAGATGATCTTTAAAAAAAAAAAGAAAGAAAAAAAAAAGAGGTGCTAGTGTAAGATAAATAAGAATTACTTTCAGACTATGAGTCATGCAAAGCTACTCGAGCAGATTAAAAAAACAGAACAAAAATGAAAATAGGCAGAACCGTTCCTCGCTCCTATCTCTACTAATTCTGGACACCAAAACTGGGGCTGGCCCTCTTTGTGGCGTTGACAAATTTTTAAAGCATTTTAGTGCAATGTCTATGGGCTCACACAATGACCATACCCTGGATAATCATCCTTAGTCACAAGGGGTCAACAAATCAGGTAGCTCTGCATGTTTGAGTTGGCAGATTTTTAATGCCAGATACATTTCCTGACCCAACCCCAAAGAGTCCCAGGATCAAACTATGGGTCTTACACTTGTTACACCATACTGTAAACCACTACACTCTGGAACAACTTCATTAATACGACCTAAAACTAGTGACAAAGCCCACAAGTCGTGAGGAAATTATTTACGAGGGCCTGAGAGTGAGGAACCTAAAGGCTTTTTTTACCCTGTAAACTTCTATACAAACAGACCTATTTTTCTCTGCAACCACAGGAGTCGCCCCCTGCTGGCCATTAAAAAGAATGCAGGTTTTAAGGGACCGCATTAGCTTCAGACTCTGTGGCTACATCCCTTTTTACAAATTTCATAAAGTCAATGGATGCATGCGACAGCAGAGTGTAGTTTGTGGAGATCACATGGTCCCAGAACAAACAGATGAAGCTATTAAACGTGTTCAGTAAAATCTGGAAAATCACAAATAAATGCATTAACAAGCTGACTCATGCCTTCACCTGATTTGGGGCCTGAGGAGCCATTCAAAGTAAGCAATTTTGTTTTGGCATCTGTTCCTACTTTGATAGAAAGAGGGTAGACCTTTATAATTTTGTTTACTACTGCATGACAAATGCACTAAATCCCCAGGCGGTCCAACTGTGTATTTTGTCCAACCAAGAGTGAAATTACAAAGTTATTTAGTGTCCAATCACATGTAAGAATGTGCGACCATTAAATTTTAAGCATCTCTGCTTGTAAAATGACTGTTAATTGACTCTCAAAGTAGCATATGTTTAATTAACCTCTTAATTTACCTCAGAAATATCTTTAGCTTCCAATATCCAAGGGCAAGGCGCCTGAATCGGTGGCTGTTGAGGGTAAATTAAAAGTTTAATGACTTCACTGAACAGATTTTTTTTTTTCACTGGTCACAGGCATGAGCCAAAAACAGAACTGTGACTGTTTCCAAAAGTCTCACCAGCTCCTCAGTTACCACAGTGGACTCTCCTGGTGAGTAAACTGTTATTTCCAGCCTGGCCTTGGTGATAACTACACCCTGTCTGTCTGTCTGTCTGTCTGCATGTATAAAGCTGACACAGAGGAACATTTGGTCTGTGAGCTGTGCTTCCTAATTTAACTCTAAAACCTTTAAATCATCATAGATATAATTATGCTTCCCACAATTAACCAAAACTATGCAAAAAAAGGATAAAAATAGCTTAGCTGTTGTTTTCCTAATCACTAGTTCAGAGTACAAAGTTAAGTCACAGGGAATCCACTCAGATTTATTTAAAACAAAACTCTGATATCAAACAAACTTTCACCCAGGTCACTGAACTCGTGTACTCGCAGCTGCCTAAATAAGCCCGACATCATAAAATAAAGGCTGAATTAAATACAGTAGGCTGGTGGGTGAAACAGTTCCAGCACTATTTGTGTCAGGACCCCTTTAGTCAAAACAGGACTGCTATTTCCACCTGCAGTGATTTATATTTCATGGCATGGCTCTGTTTTCGGACCTTCCCACCCTTCTATGTGCATGCATGTGGAGAGTAGCAGCATCAGTAACAGAAACTATGACGTTGCTTCAGGCAGAAATAGCATGAAATGGAGGTCACAGGTCACCTCTGGTTTAAAGGGGAACTATTATGCTTTCCTTCATTTTCTGTCAGCCAATATTATTATTACAAGAGCATTATTCTAAACAGTGACTAATGCAAAGGTACTGAAGTGCTAATTTATGGGCTAACACTATCAGATTCAGCTGTGAGAGGTGTGGTGGAAGATAGAGGATCCAAATGCAGTGGTAGGCAGAGGTTGAACATAAAGTTAAGTCTCTATTGCTTAAAATGAACAACTGTCAGTCCAGAAACAAAAAGAGGCACTAGGAAGCACTGGGAAAAACAGTAGGAACAGCACAGCTAAGTGGGACAACTCAAAAAAGGGCCAGTGGAAATGATCACAACAAATACACAAGGTGATGAGGGAAGAGGAAACAAGAGGGGAACACGGCTAAAGCTAATCACAGAAAAATCAGACAAGGGAAGTAAACAAAACGGCAAAATAAAACAGGAAATAAACAAGTGGAACATCACAGAGACTTGACACAAAAGGGCTGAACACGAGGGAAAATGTAATATACAAAACTAGGTACCAAAAACAAAGAAGCTAAAGTCATGGTGGATTACTGCTGAAGTGGTCTGTTTGCAAATAAAAGTGTCTTTACAGTAAATACCTGTATTACTGATTTGTGAAGCTAAGTGTTGACTAACAGAGTAGGGGCTCTCATTACCTTACTTTGTATACTTGAACTCCTAAAGTACAGGGGGCGAGAACTTAAAACAGAAGAGACCTGGAGAGTATTTACAGCGGCTCCTTTTCTGTGTGGGTGGAGACGCACATTGGTGTTGCACCCTGGTGTTTTATTAGCGCTAACATTTGCTGAGCTTTATGGAAACAAACACATTACTCTGAGCACACACTCTGTATCCTAGTGGTGATGTATGTTGCTAGGACTCTCCGATGACCCAAAGAAGAAATACTCACTACTGTCAGGCTTCATAGACATGGCACAGACAGTCCCAAAAGGGAGCCTTGCTCAGTGCAGGGATCAAACTGCTGACAGCCTCTACCTCCTCAGCCCTGACTCACCGCCAGTTATCTTTATTGGTAGTTGGAGATCAAAGTATAGGAGTAAATAACATAGAATAGTCCCAGAAGTCAAGAAATATTCCTACAGAACCCCATCGAACCTTACAACATTTTAAATTTACCTCATAATTCTCACCACACCATCAGTTTTGGTTTCCTTGAGACCTCTCTCTTATTATCCTTGATTTTATCATCAACAAAACTGACGTTTTCCCGCTAACAGAGACCTGGTTAAATTCTGATGACAATTCCACTGAGGACCAAAGTTGATTGGTTCTTTTGACATGACATCACTATTGCCATTTAAATCCCTCTTAAACACATATTTTTATCATTTCCATATCCTTACATAATTTTTATTAATCTTTTTCTTTTAATTATGTTATATTAGCATTTTATTCACTTGTTTTACATTTTTTATGTTATTGTAATTAATTTTATTCCTATTTCCTTTTTTATCGCCTCTTAAGTGTTTATCTTCCTGTTTGTTTCCTGCTTTCTTCTAAAGCACTTATTTTTGAAAGGTGGAATAAAGATGAACTTCAGTACTATTATCACCATTATATGAGTGTGTGTGTGTGTGTGTGTGTGTGTGTGTGTGTGTGTGTGTGTGTGTGTGCGCGGTCATACCTCTCTGTGTCAGGGGGGTCACACAGGACAGAGGAGTCTCAATAAAGGTCGTCTAGCAGAGAGACAGAGACAAGAGAAAGGCAGTTTGAGTGTTTCCAGCCTTTCAAAGACTCTTTGAGGACTCACCACACCTCGAGATCCCTACACATTAGTTGGAGACCCGCACATATGTTTATACTCATCTACAATCACTCTTTGGTCAATTTAGTTTATGCTTTGAGTTCTGACAGTGCTACTCATCAGCCTCCCACTAGACACACATATGGATTTCAAAATCCTATGCCGCCTTGTTCTCAAGTTATCGCATTCACAAACATCCACACCGCCTACCCAGGTGGCTGATGACAATACCCCATCAGCCCTTTTACAGCTGTGGGGTAATAAAACTTTTCTTAGCTTTTCATTGTTTTGTTTTTTTAGTCCAAATGAACGACACCTTCCGCAGCTTATATACCAGTGGACAATCTCCATGCTCTTATGTTGGAAGTTTATTGCCCACTTACGAGCCAACTGTAGCCCCTCATGTCTTGTGTTTCATAACTGCTGTGCGGTCACTTTTCTACCATTCAGCTGATTGAGCCCTGGCTCAAAACTCCCCTCTGGGTAGGAAAGTGCAATTTGTCCACATATAACTTTAGCAGCGTGTTTAAAGCAACGGTTTAAATTACTTTGTAGAAGTCCACACATTTCTCTGTTATTTGATTAAGAAAAATAGATTTCATGACTTTGGCCAACTCTCTAACCAGAACCTGCAGCAGGTGGAAAACTGGTTAATGACTATAGAGCTAAACAACAACTACAGAGTCCATCCCTGGCATGAGAAACTCAATAGTGTTTGAGCTGATTACAGTGCTCTGGTATTTAATTGTCACAATTCCAGAGTAGATACTTATTAAGATAACTGAATGGTACAGTGTCCTCCACAACAATGTTTCCACCACAAGTACAGCCCAAATCTGAGCGAAACACTGATTAGAGCAGGGGTAGGCAGATTCTTCTTTTCACATAGGGCCAGACTGAGAAAACGTTGGCAAAGGGCGGAAAAGAAACTTGTTGAAATACATGGATTTTGGTACACATGACAGACTGTTTTAAAGTAAGTCTTAGTAAATAGTTAATTCATTATTATTCATCTCTGGCTCTCCTCCACAATGTCCTGTTTCCTACCTGTCAAACCCAGAGATCACCACCCCTACCTGAGCCTGGTTCTGCTAGAGGTTTCTTCCTGTTAAAAGGGAGTTTTTCCTTCCCACTTTCACCAAGTGCTTGTTCATAGGAGGACGTCTGATTGTTGGGGTTTTCTCTCTAATATTATTATAGGGTCTTTACAATACAAAGCAAGTTGAGGCAACTGTTGTTGTGATTTGGTGCTATATAAATAAAATTATATTCTGGGTCTTTGTTCTAAAAACCCAAGAACTTTGCATTAGAAAAGGTTCATTTTTGTGTGTCAGTCTGGTGCACAGTCAGCCCTTAATAAAATGACTGAATAAAACATAAGCATTTACAGACTGAAGTGATTAACAAATAAACGGTCATATTTATGGATACGAATTACTTACACAGTACAGTTAACTCAAACTTTTAATATTGTCACAGAACAGACCTGCACCACTGCATGAGGGAAAGCTCGGCCAAAGTTTTAGCCACTGTGAAGTGTATGTTTTCATCTTCATTGATCTATTTACTACTGGACAAGTTCTATGCTCTTATTTTGAAAGTTTAGAAACTTAATGAAGAGACAGCTGATGCTTTCACTGTTATTTATAATCACAAAGTATATATCAGTAAGTATTATTATTCTATTTAATAACTTGTTGGTGTGTGGCTCTTTTGGTGCACACATGCACACGACATTTGCTGCAGGATTTGGGGAAATTTTAGGGAACTGATTAGTTTTCCTTTGTCCCTTTCCTTGTACCCATGTATAGATTAAACCATACTTTTTCATTTCTCACGTTGCTGATCTGCATGCTGAATTTATAAAACTAAGACTCGACACTAAATTAATACCATACTCTCTTCCATATTCTCTAAGAGCTGGAAACAAAGCATCATTATTTTTGACTGACGCGCTCCATTCCTTTGTTAAAAGCAACAGTACATGCTGAGTGCTTCTGCACCAGATAATCTAGTGTTTTATAGACAAATATAAGAAAAGACAGCAAAAACCGAACAGCTGCCAAGTGCCAACAAAACATAACTATAATGACAGGCTCTCAACAGCAGCAGAGTCAGCAATCCACCCACAACAAAGAATATTATTTCTCTGGTCCTTCATGCCCCACCACTGGCTCCCACAAATAAACACTGCCCCACAAATATTGTCCAATAAAACTCTAAAAGAAATATGTGAGAATGCAGGGAAAACAGTTTAAGGCAAGTTTCACACAGGATTTTAAATCTTTCTCCACAAATGTAGATGGTCTGAACTGCAGTCGTAGCACTAATCAGCTATTAGTTGTGTATGTGAACTCTGAATGCTATACATGTTGCTGTAAACTTATTTTGGTTGTTTTAAGCACTTTCTTAACAAACTCTATACAACATTCACTGTATCTAGTTTCAGCTCCTGTATGATGTGAGTGGATTTCCCAAATATGGTCATTTAAGACAAACAGCACTAGCTGTGCCCACAGAAGCTCCACCCACCTGACTACTGCATCACTCTATGGAAGCTTGCATATATAATAATAATAATAATAATAATAATAATAATAATAATAATAATAACCATCCTTAAGTCCAAATTTCGAAGTTATATCTCAAAATTTGAACTTCGTTATCTCAGTTTGAGATAGACAGTCAGTAAGTCAAAATTTAAGCTGAAATTTTGAGATGGCAGTATTTTGTTTTCAATGGCAGAAGCAAGCATCCAAACTGATCAGAAGGCATAAAAAAAAATAAAAATAAAAATAAAAACAATCACAGTGACATGCTGTCTGTTAGGAGCCATGCATTTGTTTTTGTCCTTATCATTCATCCAATCAGATAAATTTTCATGATCACACAGTATGGTGCAAAGTCTTATGATTGCAAAGAGTTCCACTTAAAAATCAATTTTAAGTCCATTTTGCAAACTATGGTCATTTACTGAGTCATAAAGGAGGAGTACCATGTCAACTTTATTTATAAAGCACTGGAAAAATGGCAAAAGCAGATAAGGATAAACACTGTACACAACATAATGTATACAATGAAAACAATTTTTAAAAAACCCCCAATTATAATTAAAAACAAGTAGGATCATCGTCTCATGCTGGGTCAAAGGCCAAAAAGTATAAAGGCGCTTTAAGATGAATTTTTAAAATGGACAATGTAGGTGCCTGTCTAACGTACTAGGCAATTTATTCCATAATCTAGGGGCAACAGTGAGCTTTCTCTGAGCTTTCTTTAGATTTCTGTATATGCAAGAATAACTTTTCAGATGATTTAGCAGCTCGGACAGGAGTTTAAGTAAAACAGCTCAGAGAAGAAGACTGGGGCAAGACCATTTAAAGATAAAAAACAAAAACAAGAACTTCACAAGGACATGCAGCAGCATTTTGAATCAGCTGGAGACGTGAGATGAAAGACTGGCTAACTCCGAAAGAAACTGACCAACAACTTGTCAGTCACAAGATATTAGCCAATGAGCATGCACTGACAGATCCACCCCTCGCTCATCACATCTGGTGTCAAAAAACACTCTGGTGGCTAAAAGCTTTGAGCTTCATAACCAATGGGTAACTTCATCCATCTTTTGTACCGCCTACGAGGCTGCCTGTGTCTTTATAATGTTAGCAGAGTAAATAACCAAAACAAATATAACATCAGAATTAACATTTTAAAAAGCGATACATGCCAAGAACTTTGCACTCGATGCATCTTTAGTGTGCCACGTATGTTGTCATAGTGTGAAAACTGGGCGTTGCACCAGTGCTGACCACCCAGCCAGTGCACCTGTTCATTAACAGCTACCCCCCCACACACACATACACACACACACCACCTAAGTACCTCATCAAAACAGCAGTTACACTTTTACAGGCTTAACACGTGAGCATGACAAATGGTCCTTGAATAAAAAACAAACACACATGATATTCCCTCACACAAACACCACTTTCTCTTTCACAAACACACACACCTACCAGTTTAAATACCAAAAATCCCTCTCTTCCAGCACCCACGCGCAATTCACCGCTGCGATCTGTGCGTGAATCCAAAAGCTGAAACTTTGACACGACAACACCGATACAGAAACGGGCGTTAGGCAGACACGGTGTTGCTTACCACCCTTCTAACACTGCACGCACACTATACATGCCACATGACCACATTACCACTTGCAGCTGCTCACTATTCTCACCAACTGCCTTGACAGGACATAACTAGTGTGCGTGTCACACATGATGAGCTTACAGTAGTGCAGGCTGCAACTTTAGACACTGACGTTTCTGAAATACCTCCGAGCTCCATTTATCCTCTAAATGACACGTCACTGTAAAACAGGTGAGGCTTTTTGGCCAGACAAAAAAATAAAATAAAAGCTCTGCAGTATTTTTCTAAATTAATTATTTAAAAGTTCAAGTTTCACACAACTGAGACACTTGAATTTTTCTGTGGCTGAGTGCATTAATGGCTGGTTTGGCTCAGTCTCAAGGGTCCTGAAGCTTAATGGCGAAAGCTTAATGGAGGCCAAATAAATTGTCACTTGGTAGCTGTATTTGGACTAGATTTAGTATTACCCTGGATCTACTATGCTCAGTCCCATCTCCGTATTTTTATTCTGTGACTCAGCTAAAGAAGCTTTACAAGAGTCACAGTTCAAAATAAACCTCATTGGCTCCACTTTAACATCTCTTCCCCCAACTTTTAGCTCAATATTTCACAAACTGCGGGCCGTGAAGGGCCAGTATCTGCAAAGTATGGAGTGAAAGTAAGTTGACTAAAATACTGAAAATACTGTGGCATTATATACGTGACAGAAAATAATGTATAATGCTTAAGAGGTGGACTTTAAATTTTCCACAGTGGGGTAGTTACAACTTCTTGCAATTCTCTTCTAATATGTGACACTACAGGGGAAAAAAATTACATCAACAAACCCATCAGTAAACAGAAGTTGATCATTTCTAATTTGACAAGTTCCAAATATTTTACTTTATTCCTCAAAATAATAACAAAAAAAGATTGCATTTGTCATTTAAATACCTTGACAACTCTAAGAAAATTAAAAAAAACAAAAACAAAAACAAACTACAAATCAAAACAGACTCCACTAATGCCCTTTCTTAGGGCCTTTTATTCTTTAAGGGACACTTTTGATTGCACTGAACTGAAATCAAAACTCTCCCCGCGTCTCCAGCCTCTCCCCCGTGACCTTCAATCTCTAAGCTGCAAAAAGAGACAGTCAGATGGACCCTGCGCAACCCCGGGGCCGTCGCCAGGCAGGTAAAAACAGAAGCAGCACATCTCTCATTTCACATTTAAGATATACAGCTAGCATGCCACGGCTGTCTGGAGGACTGACAGAGGAGATGCATGTTCTGATCTGCAGATATGAAGCGGTTTACTGTAAAGAAAGTTTGTTTTTTAAGTTTGTTGTAGGGGTTATTGAGCTGTTTAATAGCTGCATATCAGACAGTATTTAATGCACTTCTTTGCAACAGGTGACAGTAAAGTAAGTCTGACAAAACAAGTACAGTCAGGTTTATAAGTATTAGTAATTTTGCCTCTGTACACCACTGTGGTTAAAAACATTATGAATTACAGCCATTTTTAAACACAGTGCCTCATTTATGGATGATCTAATTTTATTTAGAAGTGTGCAGCAACTCTGCTGTGGCCAAATTAACCCTCATACAAAATATTTTATCAGAGTACCCAAACATATTTTACACAGAAATACCGTTTTAATGGCTGAGTTTGTGTTTATCATACCTGTACTGTTTCCTTTATCCATGAAAGCATTTTAAATTGTTCTAAATTTGATTTATTTAGACAATCTTGGTCTGTTGCTTCTTTCTTGTTTCAGTGATACTAGAAAAAACATTTTACAAACATTAAAAAAAAAAACATGTTTGACTGGATTATCTGATAATAAAGTCATCAAAGTCAGACTGCTTTTGGATTCAGACTAATAAAAAATCTTGGTAATTTGTAATATTTAAAAAGTTCTGTGGAGAATCACTGAAGTAGTAAATCTTGCTACTCTAGTTCAGGCCACAGTTGACTTCAAAACACTGCAATGTGGTAATAGCAAATTGAAAACTACTATAGAACAAGCCTTTAACTTTAGCAAGTATACATATATTGCCACTCAGATTTTCATGATCTTCCTACATAAAATATAGACCGACAAATTCACATGAAACTGTTTTTTGTTTTTGACTACATGACAAAGATTTGAAGATAAGACGAAAAACACTGAGAAATCGAGATCCACCAAGAAGCCGGAAGGAAGCAAACAGTGAGAAACAAATGTTGCAAGCAACAGGATGACGAGGCCGGAGAAAAACAAAGTGACAGAGATGGGAAGTGAAAGTTGTGTCTCAAGACAGCACAGAGACACCAGAGTAACACTAAAAATGTTCAGTTGGTGGGACAAACAGGCAGCTCCAACTGTGCAAACTGTAGTGTCAATCATCGCGGACTAACTATTACAGGAATTTAAAACAAGCTCTTATACAAATTTACTCCTAAACTTGTAATTCTGCACTGAAAACAAGCCTGTCATTACACTGCATTTTACTGCACTGCTGCAAGCCATCAAACTCAGAAGCATCAAGCATGCCTGAGAATAAACAGTCAGAAATCCCTATGAGCAGCTGCTCCAACATGCAAAATGCAGAATGCTTCCATTTCACTGTAATTTAATTCCTGAGAAATTATACAAAGCAGAGGTGGGTAATCATAGGTTTCAACCTCACCTCTATTATCTTCCCACCCACAGAGGAGACAGTAACACTGCTGCAGATCAGAAGACAATGAAAGCTTTCCACGAGGAGACTGAGATGAAACGTAACGAAGTGAGAGATGGTGCAGACACAGAATCTCTGCAGGTAAATCAGGTAAAACAGTCGCTACTTTTTAAATGCCTGGTTATCGTATGCAGGGTTTTGACTGGATGCCTGGAAAAAAGGAATGGCTAATTTTTGCTTCCCCTTTCATTATGTTCCACTAAAGGTGTAAACAAATCGCCCACTGCTCAATTAAAGTGCATAATATGTATCTACCAAGGAAAATGTGCCTTCGGGGGATAGTGTGAGACACAAATAATCAGTTACTGCAATCACTCTATTTTCACTGCCTTCCATCTCCTTTCAACTTCCTCCACGGGGAGGAAAAGTCTGAAGAAGTCTACTTTTCCTACAGTTTCCTGTGTTTAGTCACAGCTACTCTGATTGCTATGAACCTGACTGTTTAGATATTGTTAAAAAAAATAAAGACTGTTTATTTTCTACCTGAAGTTTGAATGCCAATTCAGTTTGGTTTGAGAAGGACAGAGAAACACTGACACTCTGAAATAATCTCATTATCAGCCAAGTAAATAATACCCGAGAAAGTTAAGTATCATAATATGCATCAATTTTGACACTGATTTAACTTTTTCAATCATGATTCAGGTAAAAAGGACACACATTATTTGATTGTAGTGTCTCAGGTGTGCAGATTTGACGCCCTTCTTGTTAAACGTAACAGTAAAGCGAACATTTTTGAGGATTTTAACTGCTGAAGATGCCACGCTGGGCTCTAAATAACAGTAAAGTGAATTTTTTATTTTTTTGAATGGACTGAAGAAAAATGCATTAGATTAACTGAGAATGAAAATTAGGATTCTGGCCTTTTAGGGGCTGACTACACTTATAAGCAGGATTGGACATATGCTTGTATATATACCATTTATAGGGGATTTAAACATAAACCTTTCACAGTATATTTTTGTTTCACCATCCCAATGAAGCCAGACTGCAATTTGGTATTTCAGGGTCAATTCGGAGGGTTACTTCACACTTCTAAATGTAGAATTTGAGACTTTATCAATTAAATTTGTGATATTTTCCTCACTGCAGCAAAGAGAAGTGCAGGAATGTAATCGACTTTGAGTTTAACTTTAATATGTGCTACTGCAGAAGGAGACCCAGCTGAGCACACTTGAGAGCTGGATATGGATGGCTTGGGTGCTGTCATGCTCTGCTAGACTCCCCCTAAATGCTTTGGTTATCTCCAGTAGCATCTTTTGGCAGGCTGTGGTGTCATAAATCATTTCGTTTGACCCGCACATGTCACATGAAATGGCTTATCAGTGGTTTCGAGTTATTAAAACATTTCCTCTCACCTAACCGGTCACATGATTGATTATGAAAAACCAAAGCATTATCAGCCAACTACATCTGTTTGCATTCAGCGTATTGACCATAACTGCACATAGGCACACATATGTAATATATATATATATATATATATATATATATATATATATATATATATACACACACATATATACATATACACACACACATATGTAATATATATGTAATATATATATATATGTGTGTATGCTTTAATTACACCCCAGGTGTGGGCCGAATTTTATAATGACTCTTTATAATGTCAAAAAAGTATTAAATTATGCTTTAGAAAGTTTATGTGTTTGGCAATCATCCAAGAAACGTAAAATTGACAGTTTTTTGAATGGAGTAACGTTCCTCCCATATGAGAGGACTAAAGTTTTGATTTAAAAAGTGGGCAGGACTTAGGTCTAACACTCCGGACAGGGACGGACACCGCTTTGGACTCTCGTTTGAGTCTAACCTTTCTTTAAACAGGTTTATTAAAGACTTTCTGGACTCGTATTTACGTTTAAATAGGGTCGAGTGAAAGCTCATTTTTAGTTCTGCCTACTTCTGGGAAGCTGAGTGACATCTGAGCGGCCATGTTGCAGGAAAGTTTTAACTCCCTGTTCACCTTGTTCCACCGAATGAATGTGTTCCTCAGACCTCTCACTGACTAACTCTGGTACATTTCACACCGAAAGTCGTTGTTAATGCGGATAAATCGTGAAACTACTGCTCCGGCATCATGTTATAAGCCTTTAACATCCTCTGAGAGACGAGCTGCACTCACCGGGATTATTTTCGGCAGGTATTCGCGTCCAAACACCAACATCAACACTGAAACGTGTGGCTCCGACTTTAGATGTATCTCGGTTTCTTTCTTTTTTCGCGGTACTTTCTGGCGTCCTCCTCGGTTTAAATAACAGCGTCCCTCGGTCCCGTTACTTATTTCCGTGACGAGCCATGTTTCATACCCGCTGCTGCTGCCTCTGCTGCTGCACCGGTTGCTGCTGCTGCTGTGATGAAGAAGTGAACTATTTTTGAAAGAAAGTCACTCCTCTCAGTCAGTCCTGCCCCCTCCCCTCGGCTCAGAGCTGCCACTGACACAAAACGAGCTCACTTCACAGTCAGTAGTACAGTTCGTCCGACTTTACTCGCTCAATAAAAGGACATGTACTTCAAGAATAAAAGGAATGCCGACTGAGCTGCATAGGGGGCCCAGGGCAAAGTTAGCGTTTGGGTTCACGTCCCCCCCCCAAAAGAACCTTATCATGTCCCATCTCTAACTAAAAATACTAACTGTCTTAGTGCTACAGTGCTGTGAAAGTATTTGCCACTTTCCTAATTTCCTACATTTTTGCATATTTTTCAGGCTTAAACGTGTCAGATCATCAAACAATTTTTATATTAGA